AATCAGCTGCCTCCTGCACACCTCCTACTGGGGATGTGCCCACAACCAAGGTACATGCCCTTGACCGGAATCGAACCTGGGACCTTTCAGTCCGCAGGCCGACGCTCTATCCACTGAGCCAAACCAGTTAGGAGAGAGCTTCCAGGCATGGAGACAGAGTTTGGGGTGACAGATTGGAGCTTGGCATATTCGGGTGCGCCGCACCGGCACAGCCAAGGGTGAACCCGAGTGGGGCTGATGAAAGGCTTAGAAAAGACAGACATGAGAACGAAAGCTGGGTCTCGGTGGGACGCTGCCCTCTCTGATGGAGAGAGACAGCGACCACAAGCCGTGTCTTTATTTTATAGCAGATGCCATGAGGCAAAGTATGAGAGTGATCAAGATGTTTACAACATTCTGGTTGGTTTCAGCCCTACTCAACTACATGCACCTGAACTCTATCACTCAGACACATGGGGCCACTTGTTTGGACCACAGGTTCAAGCTTAAAGCTATAGCTGTTGGCTAATTGTGCTGGGAAGGCTCTGCCCTCCAAGCTGGGACTTGCACGTGGCAATGAGACGACTGTGCCCTCTCCTCAGTCCAAGGCTTGAACCTGTCCAAAACACTGTAGCAGCTCCCCATGTTCGGGGAACAACATGTCACCCAATTGGGGGCAGGGGGCAGGTAACTGTCAGTTATTGACATGCAGCTGAAGTTCAGCAGGTGCACGGGCCCACTGTGCAGGTGGTTTGAGTTTCAATGAGGTGGGGGCTTGTGAAGAAAGAACGGTGGTAGGCAGCTGGAAGCCATGGCCGAGGCAGCAACTGGGGAAGAGGTGATGGTACTTGGCCTGAGAGAGCAGTCGTGGGGCTGGCATGGTGCTTCTCCCCATTCAGAGGTGGACGCAGTGGGCTGGGTGAGTGACTGACCAAGGGGGCAACTTGCTGGCAATCCCATAGGCAAAGGCTTCCAGGAACTTCCTGTGACTAGTCTTTGTTACATGTGTATTTACCATATAAGTTCTTTTTGTATCTCATTCTTAATATACAATAAAGAAAAACTTTTGGCATTATGCAGTGATACGGGGAAGTCTGGTTAAGGCATAGGTTTTTGAAGGGTAAAAATAGAGGTTTTGTTTTTCTTATTATATTGAAATACTTTTTTGCCCTAGCTGGTTTGACTCAGTGGATAGAGTGTCAGCCTATGGACCAAAGGGTCCCGCGTTCAATTCCTGTCAAGGGCACTTATAAATAATAATAATAATTTTTTAAACAAAAGAGTTTCATGAAGAGTACAAAGAACTCCCTAGTAATTTTCACCTAAATTCAAGGGTTTGGAATTGTCCCATGTCTTGACCCATTCTGTTAATGAGTTATGAATGAGAGGGGACTTAGAAGTTTGTAAGTTGAGTGCACCTGTCTGAACCTCAGGAGGCCCGGGCAATGTATTAAAAACATGGGAATCATAGGCGTTTGGAATGGCATGCTTTACTGTTAGAGGAGACAGCCATCTCTTGCAGTGGCCACTTTCTCCCAACACTGCTATAGCTGTGCTATAGCTCATGCGGAGGATGGGGAATGAGTGGAAACCAGGCCTTTCTGACACAGCTCAACTCACATGCCCCTCTGGCTCCCCATGATTGCAACAATGGCAGCATGGGCGTTGGTGGAAGTAGAAGGAAATGGTAAACACTTGAGACAGAGGGCATTCATCTTCATGTAGGTGCTGATTTGAAAAGATGTGAAGATAAGGAATGTGGAGAAATATTTTGTTGTTTTGTCGTTGTTAATCCTCACCCAAAAATATTTTTCTATTGATTTTTTAGGGAGAGTGAAAAAGAGAGGGAAAGACAGAGAGAAACATTGATGTGTGAGAAACACATCTATTGGTTGCCTCCTGAATGATCCCTGACCAGGGCCCTCGTCCGGGAGGAGCCTGCAACCAAGGTACATGCCCTTGACCGGAATCAAACCCGGGACCCTTTGGTCTGCAGGCCGATGCTTTGTCCACTGATCAAAACTGGCTAGGGCATATGTGGAGAAATATTTGATGGCACTCAGATCTTCAACCATCACACAGTGTTCTTTAAAGAAGATTTTACCATATGTGTGGTTCGAGTAGAAAACTTGACACATAATTTAGATTTAACCCTTAGGAAAGCAATGGAATGAAGACACTGTTTTGAAGGTCATGATTGTAGGAAAGCTTGCCGGACATTGAACTTTTTTGATATGTCAAGAAATTAAGCAGAAGATGAGCCCTACAAATATGAATGTGGCAACTCTCAAAGGAATACTAACATTAGTAGGAAAAAAAAAACATGAGAATTTTGTTGGAAGAGAAGAAAATCCTTCTCTACACATGGGAGACTACCATGCAGAGACTGAACAGAGTTAGTCCTCTTCATGAGTTTTCAACATGACAACTCAAACAGACGTAATCTGAGGAATATGACCATAGCAGGAAAGGCTTCTGGTCTGAGTCAGTCAGTTTTGAGAGAATTCATACTGGACCCAAAAAAAATCTAGTCATGGAAAAAGTTCTAACACCAAGTAATTACATCTGAGAAATCTGAAACCATGGGGATGTGATTGCTGTGGAAAAGGCCTGAGGAGTAGCTCTCTCGTTCAGCCTCACAAGTCATACTGGAATGCGCCTGAGGATGTGGCCAGTGTTAGGAAGGCTTCAGGAAGCACAGAATCCACGGCAAGACCTTCAGTAGGAGTCCTCGTCGTGTCCCGCAACAGAGGACTCATATGAGAGGTCACTCTCAATGCAACCTGTGCAGGTGAAAGCCACAGCCTTGGTCTCACCTTACCTGACAACAAGCAAACAAAAAGCCTTACACTGGATTGAACCAACCATATTGAAGAAGAATGAAATGTCTCACTCTGTTTTTACACCAAATAAGTCATACAGGAGGCAAACTGCATAAAACAGATGATAAAAGTATACAAATAAAACAGGTCCTGCTTTCCCAGCTTGTCCTGTTATCTGACCTGGAACAAATATTAAGTAACATGGGTGAGGACAGGCATCCTTATTTCAATTTGTGATGTGTCCCCAGTTGCTAAGACAGTCACTGAATCTCTGACTCAGGAAACTTGAGTGAATAAGTGCTGCACGAGGGCGTCTTAGAGAGAGGAGACTTTGAAGACAAGGCAAGGCTTTGCAATGAGCACAGTGGGTAAGGGATGATGAAGGAAATCTTGAGATGAAATGGTGCTATGAAGAACTCTGAGAGCGCACGTCCTTGGAGATAGGAACCCAGCCTGGAAGAGTGCGGTCACATACTGTGAAATCTTTATTTGAAAACACTATGTCCTCTGTCACCTTCCACATACCTGTTTTGTTCTCTAAGGCCCATGCAATCTTGATCCTTTTACCTGGCACCACTCTCCTGGATATCCAGATGTAATCTCCAGGGTAATTCCTTACCTATTAATTGAATATGAAGAGAAACAAATGAACTAAGCATAGCAAACATTTGGGGGGGCGACACCTCCAAAAGATCTAAGGAAAGAAGGTAAATCAGATCAAAGCAGGAATAACTGAGTCTGAAATGGAGGAGAAAAAAATGATCCAAGAGCCCATTTTTGGGGTAACTTTGATTAAGCAAATAAAGAGTCAAGGTAAAAGACTATACAGGGGGGCGAAAAAAGACTATACAGGGGAAAACTATACAGATATTCAGCACCACATGTAGTTGTTTTCATTATACTGCTTTGCACAACTGTTACAAAGGATGAGCCAAATCTGTGTACTGGATGAAAAAATCTCTAAGATGTATGTGCGTTTCTTAAGATATCTTTTAACCGTATGTATCTTACATATGTAAAGATACATGGATGCACATATTATCTATGCCTTTTTCTTAAAAACATACACATAAAACACAAATATGAATGTGTGTTGATTGCTTGTGGCTGGCAGGATGTAGAAACTGAGAGGTTATGAATACAGCCCAAGAAGGAAACTGCGTGGGGGGTGATGTTCCATCTTAGAGGTGCTGCCCGTAACTATGCAGCGGCCAGTTACATCTCAGTCCTGATCTGGGCAGGGACTACCTTCCAGCTTTCTGTTAAAAGATGGTTTCCATGCCCTGGCTGGTGTGGCTCAGGGATAGAGCGTCCTGCTGACTGAAGGGTCCTGGGTTTGATTCAGGTCAAGGGCACATGCCCAGGTTTTGGGCTCAATCCCCAGTAGGGGGCGTGCAGGAGGCAGCTAATCAATGATTCTCATCTTTGATGTTTCTATCTCTCTCTCTCCTCCATTCCTCTCTGAAATCAAAAATATATTTAAAAAGAAAGATGGTTTCATGGAACATGAACAATTCAGACAGAATAGAACACAGACTGGCAAAGGCTGACCCTCTGAAATAGTAATGAGTTCAGAAATGTGACCA